ATTTACTGGTGGATTAGCTTGTCCCTCTCAAGGTCTCGTCTTAGCCTTCATTCAGAGGAGGGAATGTATTTCACATTTACCATTCTTCATAGCTTCTTGTTCTTATTCCCAAGCATGGCTCTCACTCCTAGGATATGGGCCTACTGAAGTCCCAGTCAAACGTCCAGGATGTTCACCAAAGTTCTCTGAACTCTGGCTTGGGTCAACTCCAGTGTGTGTTCGAGGACACGGAGATCTCTGAAATCTCCGCCCAGCTTTCAGACACCACACAGCTGTTCTTCTCCGAGGTCTCCCAGAGACTCACGAGACAACGTGCAAGCTCATGGACTGGCCAAGGTCCCAGGGGCATGTCTATGCAAATATCTGGAATTCTCTCTCTGTGACTATCTTCTACAAGATTTTACATCTGTTCTGAGGCAGAGGGAAAGTCCAGCCATGGCCCAAATCAGATTTTCCTTTGCCTAATATTGAAGCAACTGAGCACAAGCAATATCTAATAAAATAGAGAAAAACAACAATATCGCCCATCCACAGACAAAAAAAAATAGTCATTTGCAGCAATAAAATCAGGAAATGGGTTTGATTTCTTGCCATAAAACTTTAAAATGAATCTTCTAATGAAATAAGAGATTAGGGTATAGACAGGCTCTGACTTCCTGCAGCAGTTTCAGTGAGTCATCAAATCCTGAGTATTCTGTTCACCAATAATGAATACCTCCAATTTTGGAGAGAAATAAACTGAGCAACTATCCTTCTCCTTTTCTAACAGGAGGGACAGGGTGAGTGGGAATGGCTTAAGGGAGAGTGTACAGGGCTCCGAGAATGAATGGAGCCTCTCAAGCTTGGGGGAATCTTTTCTTTGGAATAGTGTCGATCCTGATTGCCTATACTAAATCCTGGCACTCGGCCATTAACAAGGCTACACAGAAACTGCAGTGACCTCTTCTTTTTGCTTTATCTTCACATCTCAGCATGATAGACAGAGTGAAATGCTTAGCCCTCAAGCCATGGCTCCACCGTTTAAAACAAACAGGTTTCAGATAAGGGAGGAGAAGAGCCAGGAAGAATTCCTTTATTATGTATTGCAGCAAATACGATATCTGGTTAAAATAAACAATATAATAAACAGAAGAATATGTTTTGCAAGAAAAAAAAGGAGGAAGGGGATCGCATAAACAAAAGAAGGGTAATAACAAAGTAAATTAAAAATAGCAAGGAAAGAAACAGTTGAATATACTCAGTTATACAATACAGCCCATCCAAGAATTTCTTGAGAACATTACGTCAGGAAGAAATGAAAAGGGATGAATCAAAATAATCAAGAGTAGAAAAACTACAGTAAAATAATTGAGTAAATTTATTTCATTTAAATATAGGACTAAGTTTAAAGCCCTTTGGGACTTAGTGTTATAGAACAAATGCAGATATTATAAAATTTTGATAAAAAATAATACAGAAGTAAAAATATAGTAAGAGGGATGGGGAAGTAAGAAGCTAATTTCCTCCTGATTAAATGGTGAGAAGTCAACTGACATTGACTAAAATACATGGTTAAATACGAACCATACAGGGGCTTCCCCTCTAGCTCAGCTGGGAAAGAATATGTCTGCAATGTTGGAAACCTGGGTTTGATCCATGGATCAGGAAGGTTTCCTGGAGAAGTAAATGGCAACCCACTCCAGTATTCTTGCCTGGAAAATTCCGTGGACAGAAGAGCCTGGCTGGCTACAGTCCATAGGGTCAAAAAGAGTCGGACACAACTGAGCGACTAACATTTTCACTTTCAAAGTAAGTAAATATCTAAAATGAAGACAATCTTTTAAGGTTCACTTTCATTTCTTTATCTTCTGCTTAACTTAGTGTATTTATTAAATTAAAAAATAGCATTTATTTATTATTAAAAAGATATGATGGCCCTCAGCATATCTACATGCCATTTAATATCAGTATGTCCATCCATTGATTCTTTTGTGTTCTATAGCATCTTTAATGAGGTTCTCTTATGGTAACAATGGTTATTTCTGGATGGCATCATTTGGAGTGTGATTTTCTACTCTATATTTTTCAACTACTCCAATTATTTGCAATTAACATGACTGGCAACTACACACACACACACACACACACACACACACACACATTCCAGTCTATAATGTGTATTTGGGGCTTATACTGATGATTCGTCTACTAATTTTGTGTTAGAAGTTTTAGCTTAATCCTGAAGTCAGGCTGAGGGACCAGAGGCTAACAAGAGCTCTCCTGAGGGCTATTGCTGCCTAGCAAGCAAATATGCTGGGATATCACTCTCACAGAATATAGGCTACTGAAGATATTGAGGCTTCTCCAGTGGATCAGTGATAAAGAACTCGCCTGTGATACATAAGCCACAGGAGACACGGGTGGGATCCCTGGGTGGGGAAAAATCCCTGGAGGAGGGCATGGCAACCTACTCCAGTATTCTTGCCTGGAGAATCCTGTGGACAGAGGAACCTGATCATCTATAGTCCATAGGGGCACAAAAAGTTGGCCATGACTAAGCATGCACGCATGTGCTGAAAATATCACACAATGGGTATCAGGCTCCAATATGGCTACTTCACCTCTGTGGGCACAGCACACCAAGAGTGGTAGGTATGCCTGAAAGTGCTTCCCGAATTGAAAGGAGATTGCTGGCCTACCTACCTGGGCTAAGTAAGAGGATGGAGAGAACAGATTCTGTAGACAAGTTCCCACAACTGTTACAAAAAGAGCCTGGCTTGGACCCTCTTCAATAATTCCAATTAGATAAGAGTGGCAAAGTAGGAGTTCAACTTAAGTCTCTGTAAGTAGAAAAATAGGTATCTACATATAGATATGTAAATACAGATCTTTTTGTTAACTCCTTCCATGAATACTGGAGAAGGAAATGGCAACCCACTTCAGTATTCTTGCCTGGGAAATTCCATGGACGGACAGTCTATGGAGTTGCAAAGAGTCTGACAGACTGAGTGAATTCTTTCTTTCCATGAACACAGGGTTTGATAGGTGAAGAAGGTAACATGTGAAACCTAAACACCTTAAAGCCACAGAATTCCATGTAATTGGATTTCTATAAAATTCCATATAATCTACCTGGATCATTCTTCCACAACAGAGACTTTGAAAAGTTCCTGTATGGTGAGACACTCCAATCTCTCTCTCAGACCTCTTTCCTGAGTTTCAGACTCTTATGCTCAACTTCTTACTAGCTATTCTATCCCAAATTAAGCATATGCAAATAAATCCAATATGCATAGTCCCAATTTGTTCTTTTCATTCACTCAACTGTTTTTTGAACACCCACTATGTGCCACCATGATCGGAGAGCCTGGAAGTACAGAGAAAATTATGCAACATCCTTACATTCAGGAAGCTCACAGTTTCATGGAAAAGACTGAGAAATAAAAATGAGTATGATGCAAATGATGATGGAGCATGGGGTGCTAGGGAACATAGAGTTGGGTCATCTAACCCAAGTGTGTATTTAGCAGCAGGACATATGTTTGTGATCAGGAAAGTCACAGAGGAGACAGTATTTGAGATTTCTCAAAGAATTCCTAGGACAACTCCTAAGCTGCAAAGAGATTCCTGCCTCTGCCCCAGGCCCAACTGCTCTGGCCAGTGTGGTCCACAACTCATGGCTGCAGTGACTTTTCAGGTGAGCTGGCCCTGGGAACAGCCTCAAGAACACGCCGCAGATTGTACACTCAGCTCCAGGTCCCTGTCTGCTCTATGTGATGGTTTCCTGGAGTCCACCTGGAATTTTGCTAAAGATACCTAGGTTTCAAAGGAAAAAAATAACCTAGGTGTTTCCTGCTCCTCTAACCAGATGTGTCATAGTCCTTGGAAAATCATTCAACCTCTCTGAAATGCACTTCCTCATCTCTGAAAGGATAATAATTTTAAATATGAGTGCTTACCTCAAGGAGGGTATAAATACCAAATGAGATAAGAGATGTGAAAGGTGGTCTAGCATAGCACGAATATTAATTGTGTTTGCTAGGTTTCGAGGACGATGGACAGTGGCTTCAATACAACCGATCTTGTAAGGAGAGTGTGAAGCTTTGGAACTTCCTCAAATATACAGATATGAATTTCCATTAAATTCAGTATGTATGTCTCTTCTAGCATCTCAGCTTCCAACCCGGCCTGAATTTCATTCCAACCATTTACTAACCCTGGGGACAAGTTCTGCGCTCAGTCGTATCCGACTCTTTGCGACCCCATGGACTATAGGCCGCCAGGCTCCTCCGTCCATGGGATTTTCTAGGCAAGAATATTGGAGTGAGTTGCCATTTCCTTCTTCGAGGGATCTTCCCCACCTAGGGATCGACCCTGCGCCTTCTGAATTGCAGGAGGATTCTTTACCGCTGAGCCATCCGGAAAGCCCCAGGAAAAGTTATTTATCCTCAGTTTCCTCTTGGGTCTCATGGGGCTAATTAAACATGCCTCTAAAGGATGGTTTGAAGTAGGGAATAGAAAACATCACGCATGCTTTCACACGCGAGGTTTTAACCAAGGGAAGAGGTCCTTCTGTGAGAACCCAGAGGCCGGGAACTGAGTGGGGCCAAGAGAAAAGTGTCTCGGGTGCAGCGAAGGCGGGTATATGAATGGATGCTCCACTCTGCAGCCGGAGGCGGCCTCGCGTGGGGAGCGGGGCGCTGGTGCCGGTAGGGGGCGCCGGAGCGCCGCACTGCAGCATCCCGGNGGGCCAAGAGAAAAGTGTCTCGGGTGCAGCGAAGGCGGGTATATGAATGGATGCTCCACTCTGCAGCCGGAGGCGGCCTCGCGTGGGGAGCGGGGCGCTGGTGCCGGTAGGGGGCGCCGGAGCGCCGCACTGCAGCATCCCGGAGGCCTCCCGGCTGAGCTCGCGTCCTGCCGCAGTCCCCTCCGCCGCTAGTCGGAGAGAGCGACAGCGAGGAGTCCCCGGCCGCTCCGCCAGCACTTGCCGCCGCTCCCACCCACGATCTCAGCCCAGCGGCTGGGAAACGCCCCCGCAGACCGCGCTGCGCAACGTGGGAGGGTTAGCGGTCCCGGGGAACCGCTTCCGAACTTGCCAGGGGACCGCGGCTCTCCCGGGCCTGGAGAGTGTGAACAGGTGAGTGTAACGCACGTGCCCAGGTGGCCCTTTCGGGATGACTTCCTGCAAACCCTTCGGAGCCCCTGACCGCTTGGCCTCTGGGGCGGTCCTCCTGGTCCCTGCGTCCTCCCAGGCGGGGGTTGGGGGTCGCCGAGAGGGTGATCTGAGCGCCAGCGCCAGGGGCTTGACAGCGTCAAGGGACTAAGACCAGAAATGCCTTTTCGACTCAGGTTCCATTCTCTGCCTAGATTGAGAGCAAATGACCTGCAGTCCGCGATGGGCTTGTTTATCATTCCAGGATACCTGTTGCTTTCTGAGCAACGCTATAGCCAGGGGTCTCCTACAATCTTCCTCCTCCCCGTGCATGCTGCGTTGTGATAAAATAAGGGACAATTCCCGGTAATGAGACTGGCAAAACTTGGTTTCAGAGCTAGAGAAGGAGTGGCCCAAAGAGAATCTCAGCCCCACCGTCAGATTAGAGTCTTTGTTTCCCTAAACACCTGCACTTTATTTTGATGAGACCATGAACACAGAAGTTGAAACAACTATTACCTTATAAAGATGCTTGTAAGTATAATAGTTTAGGGATTTATTATGAATAAATCATTTTTTTAATAAATAAGATCAGTTTATAGTGAACTAAATGTCATAGGCCTATTGGTCTGTAAGCTCTTTGAAGATGACCATTTGCGATTAGCATGAATGTGGGATGAATCAATGCATGCATTAATAATAACAGAATTTGGAGTCTTCCTAAGGTTTCTTTCGGTACCTTTCTGTTTAGGAAAAAGATCAATACACCTTTAATCTCTCAAATGAACCTCTTACCTGTGATTTTATCTTTAGTAGTGATAGGAACTGAGAAATTTTTTGTCCTATTAAAACACTGTCTGTCTAAAAACTGAACGGCAGCTTCGAGACCCAGACAAAATACTTCTGCCCAACAACATGAAGACAAATGTTTTCTTCCATCCATGTCATGGAAGGTCTCGGATCATGAATTATTTTGAACATCAGAGCCTTGGCAACAGGTCCCTTATTAACACAACTGACACATTTATCTTTGCTTCCTGTCTTTATCAAATGTAACTTTTTCACATATTCATGTGAGAAAATGTTCAAAGATGTATGTCAGTTTTGTGTCTCCCTTTAAGGGGTTTTTCTTAACATAACCTAAAATTGACACTAACTAGCTGTATCTTTTTTACTTTATATATGAAACATTCAACCCACATAATTTCTCTTTCTTATGTGAAATTCCTCTGCCTCTGAGGCCATTTGGGAATTACTGAAAAACTTGACTTAACAAGTGTGTGGTTTCTTTTTTTTTTTTTTAATCACATTTGATGGCTACTCTCTTGAAGCATAAATCAGATAGTAAATTATTTGGATTTTTATGGGCATGGGAATGAGCAGTCCTGCATGAAATAACAAATTGTTGTTTATACAAGCTCCAGACACTTGCATGTTCTATGTTTCAAAGAAATGTTTGCCATTCTTATTTAGAATTCATTTAGTTAATATATCTCAATAGATTATGTTTCTGTGATGCTTCTGTGATGAAGCACTGAACCCTAAACATAGAGGCCTTTTCTTAATGAATGCACATAAAATGACAACGGAATTCTTTTATCTTTAGCTGAAAGTGTGGGACTGGACAAATTACAGATGTTACAACTTCTACGTTTTGTGCTACTAATGATCACTAAGGAGTTTTTTCATTATTTTGATGAACTAAACAACAGCCAATGCTAATGTTGACCTTTCTGTCCTTCGGAGGAAGCTCTGACACTGTGGAAGTCAGCAAATACAGAATTTGTGAGGCAGAGGTCAATGGTTTAGATGCATAGGGAAGGAAACAATTACATGTTAATGTCTTTGTAGAAATACTTTTTCAGAAGAACTTTTACTTTTTTTCTTTCTCTGGAAAAGCTCTTTTAGAAAATTTGTAGATGCCAAAACCCTGGCAGGAGCAGTTCATATGTTTAGATAACAGACTTGAAAGTGAAGTCTTGTATTTAAGATGAAAACATCGATTGCAGAAGTTCAGAGTGGGGGAGCCTGCAGTTCATGTGAAAAATGTGAGCCTTAATATGAGTGACTGTGCTGGAATATAACCAGCATGCCTTGATGAAGAAGAGGAAGAATCCCGTGAAACTTGTGCTGGGTCATTTGTCAGGTCACATTTCAAGGGGTTGAATGCAGAGGATGCCATGTTTCTAGAGTGATTAAAATGGCAAATGCCAGGGAAGGGAGCTGCATATGGTCAAGAGGGAAGGTGAGGGTCAAAAAGTATAAACAAGAACAGGCGTCTCCATGTAGAACCAAGGAAGAGGACTAGGTCTCACTTTCTTAGAAAGTAGAAGTCTAGAATGGGACCAAGGCTCCTAGTAATTGCTAGGTACTTGAAGGGCTCTGAGTGAAAGAAAAGAAAAGGTTGATGTTATGCTCCTCCTCCCCCCACCCCTGGAAGCGGTAAATTAGACCCTGAGTGGTCTAATTAGTGGTTATTAGATGGTTGTCTGGTCATATGAAAGGCCTCCTGTGATGGCTGGAGATTTTTTTTTTTCATTACCTCCAAGACTCCAATTTTACATTATGGTACCAAGGACCTTGGCGACATTCCTAAAGCACCCATAATATAAAGTGGGCTTGCATCCGTGCTAAGTTACTTCAGTTTTGTCCGACTCGTGTGATCGTATGGACTGTAGCCTGCCAGGGTCTTCTGTCAGGGTATTCTCCAGGCAAGAATACTGGAGTGGGTTGCAGTGCTCTCCTCCAGGGGGTCTTCAGGGACTGAACCTGCATCTCTTACGTCTCCTGCATTGGCAGGCAAATTCTTTACCACTAGTGCCACCTGGGAAACTTACGTTTACATGATGTCATTTACCAGGTGGTGCTAGTGGTGAAGAATCTGCCTGCCAGTGCAGGAAACTTGCAGGAGACAGGGTTTCTGATCCCTGGGTCAGGAAGATCCCCTGGAGGAGAAAATGGCAACCAACTCCAGTAGTCTTGCCTGGAGAATCCCATGGACAGAGGAGCCTGGAAGGCTATAGTTCATGGGGTCATAAGGAGTCAGACATGACTGAGCACCCAAGTGTTAGGACAATGCCATAAACTAATGTACTTGAGGTTGTTATAATAGCATTTATCTTTTATGTTCCAGGGCTTTGTGTCTAGGAAAATCTAAAAATATGTATATGTTATGTATCAATTTTAGGAACATGGGTATCTGTTACATGACTTGACCTTGTGATCTAGTGAATGGAGATAAAACTTAAACCTTGAAAGGCAAATTCAATCATGTTATAGTGGGGTTAGCTAGTAGGAATGTGTATTAGTCAGCCCAAAAGGAAATCGAATTCCAAATGTGACTGTCTCCATCATGTGTGTTTGTATATTGAGTGTTTACAGGCACATGGTAAATACATGTATTCACAGACAAGGATTTGTTATCAATTACTGACATAAAACATTCTTTGAGGAAGTGCTTTTGAAAATGCTATCTTTTGTTAAAAAAAAAAAAAGTATGTTTTAGAACCAGACAGATTGAAGAGCAAGTCCTGGAACTATTATTTTTTAGTTGAATGGTTTACAGTAAATTGCTTGAGCCCTCTTGCAGGATTGTGGTGGCGATCAACAGGGAAGATGCTGATCAAGTCAATGATTCTGGCACATAGAAGATGCTTAATAAATATGAAGTTCTTTCTCCAGTCACTTTCTCCAGTGAATTCCCAAATCTCTTTTGTTTAAGGATTGCAGATTTACCATGATATGGTGAACCCCAGGGCTGGAAACAAAAAGGTCTTCTCAGCTCTTTAGTTCGAACCACAGTGAATTGTCTACCAGCACCCAACATGGCTAAAAGTGCAGAGGTCAAACTGGCAATATTTGGGAGAGCAGGCGTGGGCAAGTCAGGTAAGGCGTTTGTTGCGATTGTAGTGTGTGTGTGTCTGTGTGTGTCTTTGTTACTGACTGAGCCGGGAGGTGGGGGTGGTGGGAGGGAGCAGTTGGCATATCTCCTATTCTCCTGTGTGGCTCTATCAGATGAAGCGTCTTTCTCTTTAACTCAGATTTTCATTTTGCATAATCAGGTTTTATGTCCTCTTTTGCTTCTTTATGGTAAAGCAGCGCTGTTGATAATACACAAGGCAATGGATACATCAGAGGTCTTGATATTCCAAGAAAGGATATTCGAATTCCAGAGAAATAAGATTGGAGAAATTAAAAAATACATTTGCTCTTTTTTTTTTTTTGGTCTATATGAGATCCTGAGGGGCCAGTGTAATATCTCATCAATCTCTATATGCTCAACAACCGGCTCAATGTCAAGCATGTGTTGAGTGCTGAATAAATGCGTCTTTACAAGGAAAAGAATTCTAGTATTGTTATCCAAAGCAGGGCTCGACTGCTCGCTGCTCAAAAGTCAATAAAGAGTCCAGATTGATGGAAAGGAAAGTTTGCCTTATTTTGGATTCTGGCAGCCAGGCAGGGAGAGAGGACATCTGTCTAAAGGCTGACTCCTCTGCACCCCAATCAGGGCACATGAATTTCTATAGACAGAGGGAGGGGGCTACATGCTAAACCACACAGTCAGCTCTAACAGTCATCTTGAAATTGGCCATCGATGGTCTGACCAGCATCATCTTGATTGTTTTTAGTACAGTTAATTTTCTGTTCCCAGGTCAGTTTGTTTCCATTTCCTTGAGGCCAATTCTCGGAGTTGTGACAGCTTATGTCACGGCTACAGTCTGGTCATCCTGTACTTAACTCTCCACCTGGTAGGGCTTTCAGTATCTAGAAGAGCTCACGGGATATGCCTCCGAATATTTTCTACAACTCTTGAGAAGGGAACTAAGGGTCCTTGACTTTGCTTAATGACGACATTATTGTTATTTGGTCTCCTTTGACTATTTTCCTTTGTTTCTGCATATTCTCTCTGATTAAACGTATTTGGCTAGTTTTTCCACGGACAAAAGGCAGACAGAGGACATGGGGGAGGGACCATAGAGTTCTGCTCCATTTCATTGTCACTCGACACGTCTAAAATCAGGGAGGACTGTGAAGGCTGGGATGTGCCTGACCTCAAGGGAAACATATTGCCAGCACCTCTAGGGTCAATTTAAATGACCAGATTGTGGTGCTCCTCAGTAATTGAGAGCCTTTAGTGTTCCATACCTGAGGAAAGGTTTGCAGACCTTTCAGGTGAAGGGCAAAATGGTGGAAGTGAAAAATGTATCTAGTCCAATTTGAAAAACAGATCTCAGATTTTATAATTAAAGAGTGCTAAGCAAGTGTTGCTAAAATGCCAGGGTAACATGGTTTTTCAGAGAATGTTGCTTTGGTCTCTTACTGGAAGAAAGACTGATAATTGATTTTGTCCACTGAGCTTTTGGTTCTCAGGAAAGGACTCTAACAGACATAGTGCATGCGTGTTTGTAGAGAGAAGCCTGTTCAGATCATCCAATACAACAGGTCATCCATGTAATCTTAAACACTTACGTTGTTGTTGTTGTTCAGTCATTAAGTCATGTCTGACTCTTTGCAACACCATAGACTGTAGCCCACTAGGCAGCTCTGTCCTCCACTGTCTCATGAAGTTTGCTCAAATTCGTATCCCAAACACATATGAGCAGTCATTAATTCTGTGACCAACCTCTCTTTCCAAATTGGCTCTCTGGTTTCATTTCAGCAGTAAATACTGCCTACTCTAAGTCTTTCTCTCTCTTTTTCTTTTAAGTTTCTTGAGAGGGCTCTTCTCTGCCATCACCCTTTTCTCCCACTTGCTATTTGCTTTGGCCTTTGGCAAAAACCAGGTAAAGAAAGTAACAGACAGTTGGCAAGGCTAAGAAACTGCCAGCCTTCACAAGCTCTAAGATTATTAAACTCCTCCCTATTCATCTTAGTTTCCTGATCGCAAGCATGCATGCTTGTTTTCATGCATGCTAAGTTGCCTCAGTTGTGTCCGACTCTTTGTGACCCTATGGACTGTAGCCTGCCAGGCTCCTCTGTCATTGGGATTCTCCAGGAAAGAATACTGGAGTGGGTTGCCATGCCCTCCTCCATTATGGACTGTAGCCCACCAGGCTCCTCTGTCCATGGAATTCTCCAGGTAAGGATACTGGAGTGGGTTGCCATGTGCTCCTCCAGGGGATCTTTCTGACCCAGGGATTGAACCTGCATCTCTTACATCTCCTGCATTGGCAGGCAAGTTCTTTACCACTAACATCACCTGGGAAGCCTGTGTACCCTATAACCACCGCTTTTTCACCTGTATTATCTCTGAACAAACTGGGTATCTCCTTCTGTCAAGGCTGACCCATCAGTCAGAGCATAGACCTAAGTTGGCTTTGGTTCCCCCAGAGTAGTTTCAGTCCTTGTTTCAAGGATTCCTCTCATTCTCTACTGACCTTTTCCCCTAAGCATTTCTTTGTCCACTACTCCATCTTTTTCTTTCCTCCAAGGTTATTGAACATGGACTCTGGCCTCAGTGTCTTAACTTTTTTTTGACTTCCTGTTCATTGCTTAAACATCTTTCACTGTGATCATACTGCTGAAACTGATTTTACAAAAGTCAGGGCTTCCCAGGTAACCCAGTGGTAAAGAATCTACCTGCCAATGCAGGAGACGCAAGAGATGAGGGTTTGATCCCTGGGTTGGGAAGATCCCCTGGAGGAGAATATGGCAACCCACTCCAGTATTCTTGCCTGAAAGCTCCCATGGACAGAGGAGCCTGTTGGCCTACAGTCCATGAGGTTGCAAAGAGTTGGACATGACTGACCACACACACACACCATTGATCAATAACCAACCAATCTAATGAATCTTTCCCAGTTGTGATCTTCTTAGAACTCTTGTTATTGTTTAACACTACTACTTACTCTTTCCTAAAACTCCTGCCTTCCCAGGCTCCCATTACATCACCCTGCTTGGCTTTCCTGCCACTTCTCTGTTGACCTGTTTCAGGGCCGCTGTTTACTGGCCTACCTCTCAAAGATCGGAGCTTCCAGCTTCCACATACTATTCTCTTGTCTTCATGCTCCATACCCTCAGGGAATGAGCCCTCACGCCCAGAGCTTGAAGATAATACCTGCCCAAGAAGTCCACATTCTGCAGACCTTGGTTTTAACTTATGGAAAGTGCAGAAGTGGAACTTGTTAATTAAGGTCCTTCCCAAGTCTTAAATCCTGTGATTCTTGATTAATAGCTCTTCTTTGGACTGATTTCTCACTCTACCTTATATACATTCTGCCATGGGTGTTTATTTTCATTTAGGGGAAGATGACAGTGATAGACCACATGCCTTTAAACAATTGCCTTTTTGTCTGTCATCTATAAACAGGCAGTGTTTTCCTATTTCAACATGAGACTATTTTCCCGAGACCTTGTAACCACACCTCCCATTTAAAAAGAAGTACTGGTTTAACTTATGTATGGGAGTCAGTTCTGAGACCTTTTCCCAGAGTTCAGTGAAAACAACCACAGAGGACTTGATAACCTATCAGCTTTGAAAGCAGACTCTAGCCATGGTGAATTCATGTTTATTCTAGTTCTTTATTAATATGGATAGCTCAGTCTCTGCCTTGTCATTGTACTCTACCTTCACCTTCCTATTGTACAGATTGTATCTGTTTTGTAAGTAAACTTTTTTTTTTTTTCAAGTCTGCAAGAAATTATACCTTCTGGAATGTATTCAGCTCCTCACTTACTCAAATGCCTCCCCAAATGACCATGATCTACTTGTGGGCTCAAACAATCCATTTCTCACCAAACACCCAGCAGGAGACGTATTCCTAGGAAGGGCGGGGCAGCAGGTGACCTTGGAGTGGTAGAAACTGAGTGTCTCTGCTTTGAACCTGGGTCTAAGTGTCAGACACAACTTGACAACTGAACAACTGTGTGAATTGCTTCAGAGGCTCAAGTCTGCCATGGCCTATCTGCTATCCCCCACACTCAATACCAATTTGGAATTTAGTATGCTTAGTTACTCAGTCATGTCCAACTCTTTGAGACCCCTTGGACTGTAGCCCACCAGGTGCCTCTGTTCATGGGATTCTCCATGCAAGAATTCTGGAATGGGTAGCCATTTCCTTCTCTAGGGGATCTTCCTGACCCAGGGATCGAACCCAAGTCTCCTGCATTGCAAGCAGCTTCTGTACACTCTGAGTCTCCAGGGAAGCCCAGGCACTTAGGGTAAATAAGACCAACTGTCTGTTTGCTAACAGTGGCCCAGGTGGCCTGGAGTCAAGTATAAGAGCCCCGGTGTCCTACTGTTGGATCTGACTCCCAGTTCTACACGTTATGAGCTGTGTGAACTTGGCAACTTTGACACGGCACTTAAATTCTCAACTTCTGCAATTATACAAAGATTTTGATAGGGCCTATCTCAAAGAGTTGTTGTTAGAACTGAGTGAGATATTATACACAAGTTTTTTAGATCAGTATCCGGCACAGAGTAAGTGCTCAAGTATATTACAGTTTTCAAGATGTGCCTTTTAAGTTTGTTAGTTGTCTAGTGAAAACATACAAAGATGTATTTCTACTCAAGTGAGTATTTGGGTTTTCAGTAAAAGTCAGAAAACTTATAATAAAAAAAATTCTGTATCACTGCTCAGCACACACACACACTTTTTCTGTCTCTCTCCTCTTAAATCCACAGTCTGGTCTATGTCAATTACAGCTTGACCACTGGTGATCATAACAATACTTCTCCTGGCTAATATCTTGGAAATCTTGGGGAAAAACAGCCAGAAATATTTTGGTGTCCTTAATAAATTAAACCTCTTAAATTTGAAAGCGCTTCTGGTATGTAGTTGATGGCTTCCTAAGCCCAGGTAACAGATAAGCCCTCCATGTTTAAAACAGACTTTAACGGTAACCAGAACTCTTTGGTTGACAGGTTGACATTAGACGCGTCA